TCCTTATTATGTAGGGGCTCCTGGGGAACCTAGTAAGGGTTCAGGGTTTGCTATAAGGGTTCAGGGGTTTTCGAAAGGGGTTTAGGGTTTGCTGTAAGGGCTTAAGGCTTACTCAAAGGCGTATTTCAGGGATTCTAGACGGGTTTGGGCTGTTTGGGTTCTTCAGCGGTTTAGGGTTCTATCCGGGCTTGGGGGTTTTTACAAGGGCTTAGGGTTTACTACATTGCAAGATTTGTCTTCGGGTTTGGGGTTCTGTACGGGTTTGGGGCGGTTCTATAAGCGAAAAAGTCTAGGTTTTCAGGGTTCTTTCCTGGTTGAGGCTTTGGGGGTTTGCGGGTTTGGGGTGCAGGGCTTTCTGCCTTTTGAGGTTAGAGTTCAGGGCCTATGAGTTCCATAAGAGTTCTACAGGTTTTTCGGGTTAAGGGATTTTGCGGTTCGTGGGGTTTGCTCATTGAAGGTTGACGGTCTGCGGGTTTAGGGTTTGGGCATGTTGTGGGTTTTAGGGTTCAGGGTTGTAGGGCCTGGGGAGTCTAGGGGCTTAGGGTCTAGACTTGGTTTAATAAGGACGGGGGATCTTGGGGTTTGGAGTCTAACGGTTATAGTGTTTCTTCGGGGTTGGTTTGTTTTCCCAGTTTTGCCATTGGCACCTGATGGTCTTGAGTCTATAAAGGTTTTTTTGGGGTTTGGGTCCCGTGGTTCTCCCCGTGGCCAAGGGTCGGAAGCACCCATAGGGGATCCGGTTGTGAGCCCCGCACAGCGCCCTCCTCCCAAGCTGCGCCATCGGGTCCGGCAAGCCGAAACCCAAAACCCAAAACCCGAAACCCTAAACCCTAAACCCTAAACCCTTCACGGAGAGGGCCAAAGAACCGCTCCTGCGAAGCAGAAGCGCCACACGAGGACCAGGGCTCAACGCATGTGTCGTCTCTACCAGGGCACCGGCCCTCACTGCATGCGGGGGCGACGGTGTTCGGCAGCCGAAAGAAGACCGCAGAATCAGTGGACCTCCTCAGAGTCTAGCATAAGATGCGTTTTGCCGCAACGTTGCAAATCTGAACAGAGCCGTGTTATCGTTGTTGCTGCAAAGAACGACGGACGCCGGTGAACGTATTCGACGCAGCATGCGTCGTAATACAAGCGCACGAGGCTTTTCGCAACCTCGTCGCAGCCTTCGTATACCTCTTGAGGCTACTGAATTCTTGTTTCGGAATTTAATGTCAGTTACCGTAATCGGGGTCTATAGCAAATGATATCGGTTGCATAGTATATGGTAACTCAACAGAAAGTCCTCAACAAGAACCCAGCATAACGCTTCAAGCGAATATAGAAGCCTGAAGAATTACCAATATCATTCCTTACTGTCTCTGATTGTACTTACAATATATGTAAATAAACAGAAAAGAGATAGAGATAAGTAGATAGATAGACAGCTAGATAGATAGATAGATAGATAGATAGATAGATAGGTAGATAGGTAGATAGGTAGATAGCTAGATAGCTAGCTAGATAGATAGATAGCTAGATAGATAGATAGCTAGATAGACATAAGTTTAGTGTATACGTATATATATATATATAGAGTCATCCCAAAACTCTATTAGGATAATTAAGGCCGGAGGGCATGAAAGGTGCTTGCCATGGCGGCCGTAACTCCTGTTTGCCTTTTCAAGGCCCTCGACTTCCCGATTTAGGGTTTAGGGTCAGGGTTTAGGGTCTAGGGTGTTAGGGATGTAGGTTCTGAGGTTTAAAAGAGTTTGGGGTGGGATCGTAGTGGGGTTTACGTGGGTTAGAAATGCCAAGGCAAACGCTCCAGCAACTCTAGTCCTCCATTTTCGGCATGGCCCCTTAGCTGCAAGCTTGGGGCGTTGAGTTGGGAACGCATTTGGGGGGTTTGAGGTTCAGGTGTAAGGAGGGTGTTGCCGGATTTGTTTGCATGGCTTTCAGGCCGAGGCTTCGAGCTGCGTGGTGTGCAAAGTTGAGGGTTTGCTTGTTAGGCTGCAGTCTTTCTGGTCCTTGAAGTCGTTTTTGTGTCCTGTCCACGTGTGCAGACGGGGTTTGGAACTGCTGGTGTGTCCCTGCTTGCTGCTCGCTGCGAGATGATGTGTCCAAGAACACCATGGCCCAAAACTCCGTCCTAAGCCCCTGAACCGCCAAATCCTAACCTGAAACCACCCTAAACCCTAAACCCTAAACCCTAAACCCACAGCCCTAAACCCCAAACCCTAAACCCTAAACCCTAAGCCCAAAGCCCTAAACCCTAAACCCTAAGCCCTAAGCCCTAAACCCTAAATCCTAACCTGAAACCCTAAACCCTATCCTAAGCCCTAAGCCCTAAGCCCAAAGCGCCCTAAGCCCTAAACCCTAAATCCTAGCCTGAAGCCCTCAACCAACCTTAGGGATCCTCTGTGAAGCCCGAATAAGCGGTATTGGGGTTTAGGGTTTAGGGTGAATATGCCTCATCACCCTATGGGTCCTATGGGTAGTTTAGGGTTTAGGGTTTAGGGTTTAGGGTTTAGGGTATTGGGCTTTACATTAGTGTCCCTTTTGAGGAATCCAGAAGACAGGCGGCTCTCTTAATACAAGGACCCTGAAGGTGACTCCAATGCAGAGAACTACCCCTGTGCACACAACAACACAGTGCCTGCCGGAGAGCTGAAGAACAGCAGTATCCCAATAACTTGAAGATAAAAAGCAGTCGGTGAATGCCAGCATCGTCCTGAACCCATGTTCCGATTCTTACGGCGCGCGCACACTCCTGGACCCGAAGCACCGACACCCTAAGCCTCAGACGAAGCTCAACCCCACAGACCTCGGCTCTGACACTTGCTCCTTTTTGGTAGGTCTCATGGGGGAAGATATGGCCAACCGTAAGACCTTAATATACACTCTGGCCATTCAAAGTTTTCAGGAGCCGTACCAGTGCCCACCCGAGGATATCAAGTCCTTACACAGCCGATAGCAGAGCGCAAGCAACCGGGAACTACCCTCCTAAACCTTCATACCGTTCTAGTCGCAGGCCTTCCTGCTGCACCGCTTCCGGGCTTCCAAGCTGCCCGAACCGACAACCGGCTCGCTAAAGCAAGCGACACAGCGCATCCAGCAGGCTGGGTTTGGGGTCTACTTGGAGGATCCTGGGACTTAGTAAGTAAGGTTATAAGTCCCTTAATTGGGGTTATAAGTATAGTTACCCTAATTATAACCCTACTTACTAAGTCCCATAATCCTTTAAGTACCTGTAGGAGTTAAGGTTGCTTTGTTGCGCCAGAAAGCTTGATACCCGTCAGTTCAGGGATATTGGCGTTAATCAAAGCAGAATATGTATATAAGCCCGCTAGACTTTCAGGCATCTTCCTTCATCAAGGAATCTGGGGCTCTTTTGGGGGGTTTTGTAGTGTCGTGAATCGGGTTCGGGACGGCTTGTGATGCTGAAAGGGGTTGTTATGCGCTCTTGCCGGATTGCACAGGGCTTTGTAGGGTTCCTTGAAGGGTTGCTTTTCAGGGGTTCTGGGCACCAGATGTATACACAAGGCTTTAGGGGTTTGCGGTCATTCGGATTTCAGCATGGTCCCTAAAGACTCTCAAACCTACTCCCTAAATTAAAGACTTATATAATTATATAAGCCCGTAAACCCTTAACCCCTGCACCTAAAGCTCAAACCCTCAGCCCCCAAACCCTACTTGGAGGTTCATGGGTAGTTACAAATAGGGTTATAAGTAGGGTAACTATAATTATAAACCACATTAGGGGACTTGTAACCCCACTTTCAACTACCCATGAACCTCCAAGTACACCACGAACCCCTAGCGCCGGAACCCCGAAGCCATGTGAGGCTTACGCTGCAGCCACGGCAGGCTGCTCCTGAGACCCGGGGCGCTCAAATCAAGCGTGGCTATGTATGGTTTCTGAGGAGAATGTAGACCGGTGGTTAAGGTTGTCGTAGAGAATAGCATGCAGTTGATTTGTCTGTTGTTTTTCTGGTTTACGGCTTTGGGGTTTAGGTTCTCGGGATTCTGCGAGGGTTTTAGGCTTGCGGGTTTCGGGTTCACAGGAAGGGTTGCCGTAGAGGGTTGGATGATTGGGGGTTTGGAGCGATGTGAGGCTTACATTCAGAGAGGGACCCCTTTTTTTGGCGGTTGCCAGGCGTGGAACCACACTCGTTGGACGCAGCTATGTCTCAGGGCTCGGTTGGCAAATTGCCGTGATATGAATGTTCAGCCGAATTTTAGTGACGTGCACGCTGAATGCCGGCAAACCGTAACCCTAAACCACCAAACTCGAAGGACGTGCTGGATCTCCTCGAGTTTCTGATTAGCCGTGCTGGGGCCCCGGTGAATTGTTGAGCCCTTCTGCAGCAAAGCCCGGGTTCAAGCTTCGAAGATGCCAGCATCCAGCAATTTGGTGATAAAAGAAGAGGTTGGAGATTCCGTTTGTAGGATGCTGCGATGAGCATCAATATAGTATATTATGAAAGTACTATAGTGTATTCTAGTATATTGCTATAGTATGCTATATAGTAATACTCTACTATAGTATAGTACTATAGTATACTCTAGTATACTATAGTATACGATAGTATACTATAGTATACTATAGTATACTATAGTATACTATAGTATACTATAGTATACTGTAGGAAAGTTACTGCAGGCGCCATCCTTCTTTAGGCCCTGAACTCCTCCTTGGCCCAGAGTTTCAGTTTTCAAGGCAGGGCGACATTAGCAGGTACAGCATTGTACAGCAAACCCTAAACCCCAAACCCTAAACCCTAAACCCAACACCAAGATGCAAGCTTGAGTTGGCTCCGCCTCAAATCCTGAGGAGAAGGTCCAGGCATGAGAGGTCGGTGTGGAAAGAGAGGTTCGGGTGGGAGTGAGACACGTACCTACTTCTTGCGACCAAGGGCTGGAGTCGTACTTGCACTTGGAGCAAAGATGAACTCATGCAGAGACACGGCTCAATTGAGGCAAAGCTTGCTTCCTAGGTTTGTAGCTGGTCTGAGCCCATGGCAGCTGCAACTACAGCATGGCCAGAAAAACAAGGACAGCCGCCCTTGACACGCAGCCAATCGATGACAGATTACGAGCTCCCTGATTTGCATGATCCGACTATCTTGGCCCGATTGCTCCTTGATGATTTGAATGGAGAGGTTGACATCAAGTTGGTTCGGGGCGAGTTCCTCGCAGAGTTGTGGAAAAGCGGCAGGACATTCATTCGCCGCCAAAACGCGGAGGAAGAATTCTGCAGGCGGGATTCTAGAGAAGACAATGTTTTCGTCAGCAGGCCAGAAATTGAGAAGTGGAAGAACAATGAACACTATCGTTCCAAAATCCGCATCATTGCATTTTCACATGTGTGGGAGTCGAAGCAGCATCCGGATCCAACTGGCAATCAGTTGTCCGCTCTAATGAGTGCCAAATTGTGGCATGACCAGTGGAGCTGGTATTTCATCGATTACATGTCCCTTTTACAGTATCCTCGAAGCATGCGTGAGGAGGTATGCTTCAAAAACGCTTTGACTAAGATGCATGTGATGTATGCGCATGACTTCTCATTTACCTACATCTTGCCTCATGTCAGTGAAGCTGATGAGCTTGATGCAGACAGGATTGTGAGATGTTGGTTTGAGGACGGCTATAAATACGTGAAACTTTGCCAGCTGCAAAAAAATGTCAATCCATATGACCAGCGAGGTTGGTGTGAGGCCGAAAGCCAGTGGTCTAGAATGCGCAGTCGCACGGATCGAACCTTCGTGTTGGGGCAGATGTCCGACGGCATCTTTGCCAGAGCTCCAATGGACATGGAGAGCTTTAAGGCCCAGGTGAATGGGGGCAAGCTGGTCTTCACTAACAAGGATGACATGCCCGAGGTTATGAAGCTGCAGAGGACGGTTTTCCTTCAAAAGGCACGGACCAGTGTGACCTTGAGACTGATGAAGTTGCCGCAATTGGAGACTCAAGTGCTTTCCAAGAGTGTTCAATTCTACACATCGCTCCAGCTCCTCTCAATCACAGACAGCCGCTTCCAAGCTGACAAGGTTAAAGACTTTGTCCAAGCCATAGCGCGGCTGGGCAACCTGAACGTGCTCATTCTTGACAGGAACCGCATCGACGACGAGATTGCCACGGAGCTCGCTCCCGTGCTTCGTTACATTCCACATGTCAGCCTAGCCAACAACTTCATAGGCAAGGCTGCAATGCAAGCCATGGTAGATGCACTGACGACCCCCGATAGTTGCCGCGACTTGCGCAGCCAGAGCCTGAATTTGGAGAAGAACCGCATTTGCAACATGGGTGCTGAGATACTGTCCTGGAGCCTTGCCGCCAAAACCTGCAGAGTGGTGAACCTTAACCTGAATTGCAATGCAATTGGAGTGGAGGGAGCACAGGCTCTTGCTCACGCCATCACGAAAAACAGCAGTCTTCGAATCTTGAGTTTGGAAGAGACCAATATATGCCTTGATGGGGCCGAAGCTCTCGCTGAAAGCATCAGATCCAAGCCTTTTCTCCGGCTCGATTTGGTGAACTGCGGTGTTGATAGGAAGGACTGGTGGAAGCTGCTGAGACGGTTCGGCTTCAGAGTAGTGCGTGGTTCACCTTCAGAAGCCGTCCTGCAAACCAATACTCACGTCTTTCTGATGCTCGCTTTGTTTTTGGTCCCAGCAGTTATCAGTCGGCTCTCGGGCCTGGCCAACATGTTCCTTCTGCCGTCGGATGCCATTGCGCTAGTGCTAGCACTGCCAGGGTTTTTAGTCACGTTTAGCTTGATGACAGGTCTGGTTGTCAAAGCTTATCTTCCCATGAGTGCCGCAATGTCTTCTCGGAGGTCGTGGTACAGAGGCTTATGCAAGCCAGCGCTGGTCTGGCCCCTTGCCGTCCTCTCTATAATCACCCGCCGCTGTTGTGCAGGACCATGGAGAAAGCTTTTTTCGTCGGTATGTGTTGTTTCAGGCTTCATGATGAGTCCTGTGGTTGTGGCGGTCCTCACCCTGACGGAGACGATGCCTAGATGCAGCGTCGTCGAAGCTGGCTTATGTGCTTGGGAGGGACTGGCATGTCAACTCTGCAGTTTGCTCTCATTTGTTTTAGGAATTGTTCACGGATCGATTCTTCTGCTGTGCGTATTGGCTTTTTGGGCTCTGCCATGGTCTGATGAAGAAGACAGCATGACGTGCATTCACAGATTGAAAAGACTGAGATCACGGATAATAGGGTTTTGCGAGCGGTACTGGCTGGATTGTCTTCAGGCTCGTCTACTCGAGAACGGCAGTAAAGAGTGGGAGTCGTCGGATGAAGTGCATTATCTTGCCTACATGATAGGCATTGCGGATGCTTTGCCTCTTATAAGACTGAGAGGCTCGAGGCTGGAGCAGTCTCTTTGAGATTGGTCCTCCAACCATCTCCAACAGTGCTTGTCACATGCATTGCTTCTTATGCGAAGATCAGGCACGGCTTCAAGCTCCAACCATCTGTGTTGTGTCAACCTCAAGTCAAAGTGTTGCAGCAGAACACCTCGGAAAGCCTCGCATGAGCATGCATGGCTATATTTCACCAAACATGTGTGCCTTCAAAACACAATGCATATAACCTAAAGCAATGTACAGCTCGATGTCATGCAGTAAAGCAGCTGCTGCAGTCTTCGTAGCAGTAGCAGTAGCGACAGGGGTAGGCGTCGTAACAGTCGTCGTCGGAGCAGGAGTATGAACAGCCGCAGCTGCTGCTTGCAAAGAGCAAGAACAGACTGTTTGAGCCTGTTCCGCCGGATTTTCCAAAATCAACGTCCTGCCTTCATCAACCAATGAATGGGCAGGGCCCCGAATAAGGCCATGCGCGGCCAGTTTTTCCAATCAGTTTATTTGCACATGTTTAACATTGCTAGGTTTTGTCAGCCCAAGCTGGCAGTCAGTCTGTCGGTGAAATGGGCAGCACAGCCGCGCACGTCCTTCAGAAATGACAGGAACCCGAACATCACATGCAGCAACAAAGTGGCTGCCCGTGAAAGGCATCAAAAATGCTGACTTGGACCTTGGGCTGCGGTCTAATTACTATAATGGTAAACTTATGTACTAGTTGGTGTGCCTATGGGGTAGACGTGCTCCCAGTGCACAGCTTTGCACAGCACTTTGACCACCCTGTCCAGAGTTTTGTGCGGGCATTGAGGCTGGGGGTCTGCTATGGGGTGAGGCTTGCAATACTATTATGTCCGGTAGCGTGGTATGAGCGTGGTAGGATTGTGGAGATGCCTCACGCTTGTACTGATGACAAACAATCGTACGTATGTCTGTCAGGTCTGCAACTGAAAAGGTGGTGCTGTGGTCTTTAGGGTTTCAACATGGTCCCTAAAAACTCTGAAGCCTACTCCCTAAATTAAAGCCCTATATAAGCCCGTAAACCCCTAAACCCTGCACCTAAAGCTCAAACCCTCAGCCCCCAAACCCTACACCCTTGACCCCTACTTAATGGATCATGGGACTTAGTAAGTAGGGTTATAATTAGGGTAACTATACTTATAACTCCAATTAAGGGACTTATAACCTTACTTACTAAGTCCCTAAACCCTAAACCCTAAACCCTAAACCCTAAACCCTAAACCCTAAACCCTACTTACTAAGTCCCATGATCCTCCAAGTAGCGCCGAAGCCCGAAGCCATGTGAGGCTTACGCTGCAGCCACGGCAAGCTGCTCCTGAGACCCGGGGTGCTCAAATCAAGCGGTGGCTATGTGTGGTTTCTTAGCTTAAGGGATCATGGGACTTAGTAAGTAAGGTGATAAGTCCCCTAGTTGGGGTTATAAGTATTGTTACCCTAATTATAACCCGACTTTCTAAGTCCCATGATCCTTTCTGAGGAGAATGTAGAGGGAAATCCAGCACTAATCATCCGTAACCCATGTTACAACCTTATGGCTTCTGCGGTCTACCGGGTTTTAAAAAAGATGTACCAATGACTAAGGTTGGTACAGGCTAGGATTGTCGTAGGCACTAAATACTATGCAGTTTATTTGTCTGTTGTCTTACTGGTTTACGGCTTTGGGGTTTAGGTTCTCGGGATTCTGCGCGTTTGATTGGGGTTGAGGGTTTTGGGCTTTAGGCTTTCGAGTTCCTAGGGAGGGTTGCCGTAGAGGGTTGGATGAGATGGATCCCCTGGTGGGGGCTGGCCGCCACCTAGGCTCTAAACTGAGCTTGAAGACATGCCAAGCTAAGTGCAAGACTATTCGTCGTCTTGCGATACCATACATGCAGCACTTTCTCTCGTGAGAAAGGGAGCGCCATGTGAAAGGTAAGACCAGAGATCCTCTGACAGCTTGAATTAGGGTTTAGGGTTTAGGGTTTAGGGTTTAACCATATTCCCTTATAGGTCCATAAGTCTTACGAGCTGAAAAATTGTCCATAATTTACCACTAGACCCTAAACGAAGTATCGAGGCCCCACTCTCAGCATCCCCTAGCATCAAGGGGCTGGAAATTTCTACAGTTTAGGGCCAGGATTGGCGTTTGTCTGGCTCGGGGGTTAGGATCAGATAATCACGAGTCTGATGCCCTAAATCCCAAACCCTAAACCCCAAGCCCTAACCCTAAACAGATAGACCTAAAGGGTCCCATGCCAGGGTCCACGCCCAGCATCCGATAATCCTCGCTGTCTCGATCCCCAATCCATCTACCATGAAGCCTGAAGCCTAAACCTTACTTACCTTGACCCCCGAGTCAACGACCTGTTTAAGAACTCATGTGAGGAACTCATAAGGAACCTTAAAGCGGTAGGCCGTTGGAGCTGGCATAAACCTCAAACCGTAGATTGTGCATTGTTCAGGGTCCGAATTTGGAACGATACGTGTTGAAATAGAGCAAGTACGCACAAATTTAACATGGACGTGTCCGACCATCTCGGCAGCGATACTTTCGAGGATGCTGACGAGTAAGAGGCTGGTGTGGCGCCTACACTCTCGAACTGTATGGTGATAAAACGATGGGAATGCTAATAGTTGTACCGTCGCCACTCCACTCACTTAAGGCTTGAGGCCTACGGGCCGCACATGCATGGGTCCCCAGTGGTAAAACATGAGTTATAGGGCTTGGGGTAGGGATCCGGGATACGATTTGCAAAACATGATCCTCGCAAGCTAGTTCCTACGCCGCAAAGTCTTCAGCGCACACGGATTCTTCGCATGTAGGTGCCTGATCCAGTTAGCTGAGCGGAGGTATCCGGTCGGGTTGGGAGATGGGCATTCGGCTTCTGAGGCGCAGAGATTTAACTACATTCTATTTGGATTTAGTTGGCGTGTTTTTGATCCTTGGAGTTGGCGTCAGGGCTTTGTGCAAGAAAAGGACAATTTCTTGCAACTTGCGACATGGCTGTTCCGGCCAAAGCTGCCTTTTATAAGCGGGTTCAATCACCTGGCCCGCGGTACGGCGCATGGAATGGACACCCCACTGGGAGAGCCGAAAGCTTTCGCACAAAGCCTAAACCCCAAACGTCCCCAAGACAACCTCATATAAATCCAAAGCTGTCAGGGGCAGCTCCGCCCACCGCAAAGCCACGCAAAGCCACGAAGGCATAGAACGCCCAAAGCGCAAAAAAGCCTCCACGGAGATAGACTCTAACCAGACCCTCCAGCAAAACATCCTATAAACCCGAAAAGCCGTCAGACCCTAAACCCTAAGCCCGAAAGTCTAAGCATAAACTATACGATTATACCCAAAACCCTCAACTTTGTCATAGTTGGGTAACATTTTACATTTTTAAGGGTCCTTAAACCCAATAAGGAATATGAACTGCAATTTTTAATACTACCCCAACCATGAGCTAGTAAAGCGGCATTGAAGCCAAACTGGAGCCATGAGCTTCGGCGTCTTCCAGCAGCTGGCTCCCAGCGCGGTTGTGGACTGCCGGGAGCCTGGACAGCTGCTTTAGTCGGAAAGGCAGGGTTTAGGGCTTCGGGTTTAAGTTTTGGGTTTAGGGTTTAGGGTTTAGGATTTAGGGTTTAGGGTTTAGGGTTCAAGGTTTAGGGTTTAGGGTTTAGGGTTTCGGGTTTAGGGTTTAGGGTTTAGGGCTTCAGTTTAGGGTTTGGGGTTTAGGGTTTAGGGTTTAAGTTTAGGGTTTAGGGTTCAGGGTTTAGGGTTTAGGGTTTAGGGCATCCGGTTTCAGGAGTCATGGAACTGAGCGTGGAAGAGAGCTTAAGTGGGTTGTGCCTTGGAGCCTTCCGTCCCAGACCCGTTAGCCCGTCCAACCCCTAAGCTGTCCCTGAACCCTAAACCCTTTAGGGTTTAGGGTTTAGGGTTTTTTGTCCAAAGAGCGGACCCCAACAGCCCAAACTCCGGAAACATCGGTCTCTGTGTTGATGCAGCCACTGCCCCGGCGCACCCAAAAACACCGCCACTCTAAATCCGGAGCCCTAAACGCTACACCCACCCGAGGGAGTCTCTGACAAGGGGCCTTGCAAAAATATTTGAACCCTGAATCCGAAAACCGAAACCGCCAAAGCTCATGAGGTTCTACTTTTGCTTCCTTCACGAGCCCAGGGGCGAGCAACCTCGCCGCTTGTTCACGACAGAGCAACGGTATCATAGGGGCCTCAGTAATTGCGAGTCTTCACCCTGAGCCCTAAACTTCGGCTTCTTCCGTTAAGCCCTTCGATCGGGGGGTCCTCAGTCTAATACCGACATGTGACACTACAGTGGGGTGGAAGTAACTGGTAGTAATGTCCCCTTTCTGTCCCTGCAGAAGCTATCTTACAAACTGCCCGCACAAGACGCACCCTCAAAGCCAAGAAAGGCCCAAAACGCAGACCCAGGGTGAGTTCGGGTTTGATCCCTAAACCCTAACCCTAAGCCGTAAACCCTAAGGTGTAGAGTTCAGAGGTCGATGGTAGTTTGAGGCTCAGGGTCAAAGAAGGAGCCTTTCCAACCCTTCAAGCTCCAGGCCCTGAACGCCTGGAGGTTTAGGGGTTAGGGTTGGGGTTTAGGGTTTAGGGTTTAGGGTTTAGGGTTTAGGGTTTCTTTCAAGGTCCTATGCCGGGGGGACCGACTGGAAGTTTATCACCTCCTACAAAAGCAGAGCAGGCCTTGGAGTTTGAGGGCTTGAGACTTGGATTTTTTGGGATTGGGCTTAGGGTTTAGGGTGTAGGGTTGAGGGTTTAGGGTTCAGGGTTCAGGGTTTAGGGTTTAGGGTTTAGGTTTGGGCGTTCAGGGTGTAGGGGTTGGGGTTTTGTGGTTTATGGGGTTCGGGTTTGGGGCTTTGGAGCTTGGGATAAAGATTTGGGCTAAGGATTTGTACCTTTTCGGATTTTGGGTTGGGGCTTTTTGTGTTTAGGATATTTACAATATAGGGGTAGTTCTCTAAATTAAAGTCCCCGTTAAGGGACCCAAAATAGTACGGCACCCTTAC